CCCCCTTTTTTTTTTCTTTTTTCTTTTCTTCCAAGGGATAGGGGGAAAGGGGGAAAGGGGGAAAGGGGGAAACAGTGACATGACCGGAACTAACCTTCTCGCCCAGTTCTTCCGGCGTCCTGCAATCAACCGCCCTGCTGATCTGATTCCAGCGTACGTCCGTGTTGGCGAGGAAACCTTTGTAGATCGGGGTCGCCGCGGTCAGGGCCAGCATGATGGGGCCGAGCGGGCTGAGCTGATCGTACATCCTCCGGCCCTCGATGATGTTCTTGGCCTGGAAGGTGATCTGGAGACAGCAGCTGCCCATGCCGAAAGCCATGGCGTCCATGTGGATGAAATCATCCGGGGCCGCGCCGCCTGTGCGGACATCGTCGTCCTCGGGCCAATTGTGGAGGTCGTAGTTGACCGTCGGGTCCTTCCACGGGGTCGGCGTGTTCTTGTCGTGGAAGACGGGGACGTTTACCTGCACTTTGCGGCCGCGGCGCCAGCGGATGTTGGCGGCGAGGGTGGGGAAGCGGATGTGCGGGTTGGCGATCTCGTCGGGGACGAACTGGGAACGGAGCCGCGGGCCCGAGGGCGGGTAGTACGGGTCTGTGAAGTCGCCGGGGCATCCGATACGCGGGAAGGTGGTGAGGGTGATGGGGAACTCGTCGGGGCGCATGTGCTTCTTGGCGATCTTCCGCCGCAGCCTCATGTCGGGCTCGACGTCGAGGAGTTCCTTGAAGTCGATACCCCAGGGCTTCCCCGGCGTGGCTTCGAGCATGAAGCGGCCGAATTCGGGGTGGAAGACGGGCTTCGGGTGGTCTGGCTTGAGAGTTCCGGGTTTATCGGGCGGTGCCGCCGGGATAGAGCTGAGGTCGTCTCCGTGTACACGTCTCCTTTTGGCGGCAGGCTCGTGTTGGTCTCTCTCGTCTCGTCGATCGACCTTTTTGTCCTTTGCATCTGAGACGCTCTCGCCGTTGGCCAAGTCTGGACACTTGGATAACGCGTCGAGGATCTCGGCCTGGCGGAGGGAGAGCCGGACCTTGGGCTCATCTTTGGAAAACGTGACGACGAGATACTCGATCTATAAGGGGCGGAACATTAGAAGCATTAGACACACGAGGACAATGGCGGGTTTTCCGGCTGGTGACTGGACGCACCTCATCACCCCAGAGCATAGCATCCCGCTCTTTTCCTTTCGCCTTGTTCCATATTTCTAGGAGTTGCTGTGGAGCAGGTGAGATGTCAGCCATATATGTACGAGGCTTAAAGTGTGTCAAGGCGGCTCGTGACTTGGTTGTTCGGCGTAAGACGGACCTTGATACCCCACTGGCGGACTTGGTGGGCGGCCTTCTTCGCCTCTGGCCATTCCAGCGGTGTGCCCAATGCTCTGGTGAAAACTGGTTAGTGGGGGAGAGAGACGGGAAAACAGGAATAACAGAGCAAAAAGGAGAGAAAGAAAAAGAAAAAGAACAAAAAAAAAATGGGGG